CATTTTTCCACAAACATTTTCTTTTAACTTCTTGGGAATTGAGTGAAGGTTTACAGATAAGATCATCAACTTTTCATTCAACAAATCATACACTTTGTTTCATCTCAATGATTACAGTTCCCTCTCTGGAACAACAGTTAATCCCACTTCCTTCCTGTGGTTCCCCATTTACATCTTATATTTCACAAATGAACAAAGCAAAAATGTTTGATTTTTACATATAAAGCAAAAATATATATATTCATTTAAATGTCCAAAGGACAAATTCTGCAAGCCAGCCTCCTGCCCACAGGTACACAGCCTTACTCAGTACATGGGCCCAGAGACTGCAGCTGCTCTCTCCACGCCACTGCCTCTGCCATTGAACTTGCGGTCACCACTTTTCTAGATAGTGATTTCTTGCTCCTCTTAAGCTCTTCCTTCTTGATGGTCCTAGGATCTTCCATAAACTTTTTGAAGTTCCCTTGTATTAACACTTCATGATTGCACCAGGGACAGGTGCCTCACAAGATTCCAATTCTCAAGTCCCATCCATACTGCTCTCATTGCTTCTGGAACTATACTAAGAGTTACATCTCAAGATAGTCCAAGGAAGTACAAAGTCTGCTATGGGAAGGGGTAGCCTATATATTAAAAAAAAATCGTAAAATTGGATGTACGCAGCAACATCCCACTGAAAAATTGAAAGAGTATAAACAAGGTTGAACCTGAAAAATCCAGATTGCTTAATGGCCCAAATAAATGGTCAGCTCTTGATGATGCTTTTTGTCTGAATGTAAGAACACGAACATATTCACCAGCTCAATAGCCATCTACATGTACTTGAGGCTATGTTAATCTGGGCTACTGAAATTTCAGGTAGTATACTGTCATTCTCCAGGATCCATTATTTTCCAGGGGTCATACAAATAGGTATGTTGGGGGTCACCATTCTCCATCCTTTAGATACTTAAGGGAAGAACCAATCTCTTCCATTTTCACCCCTACATGTGACATTATTTTTATTTTCTATCATCATAGGGGTGAGGAGAGATTTCAGTTTGGCTTTTCCTATTGTGATGGTTCTAACCTTATAGACCCAGGACCCAGATATGCTGTCAAGTATGTCAAGATCAATTACACTCAGTTGACTGTGTGCTATCAAGTGACTCCTGATGCACAGCGACCCTGGATAGGGTTTCCAAGGCTGTAAACTTTTACAGGAGCAGAAAGCATCTTTTTCCTGTGGAGCAATTGGTAGATTCAAACTGCTGACTTTAGGGCTAGCATCCCAGCTCGCAACCCACTATACTACCAGGGGTCCTTAAAAAATGACCACCAAGTGGGTCCACAGTCCTGATGGACTTACTGAAAGCTGAAGCTTGGATAGATTTAATGACTTCCACTCAGGCTATAAATGTCAAAGGCAATGGCTGTTGGACCCTTTGGAAGACTCAAGAATTAATTTCTGCTTATAATTGCTGTACGTTGCAGTGTCCTTTCTATAGATATTTGATCACCTCTTTAATGGGCTCCATGTCTGAAAATTGGCCCACATCTTAAAATTAGGTGTGGGATCCAGATTTTTTTTTGGGGGAAACCACCTTGATTTTCTATCATCCATCCTTGATTTCTGTTGGTAGTATCCTACTCAGCTGCTCATTGATTCTGCCTCTAGGAATGTCATGTTTTAGTAACCATTTCTATGAGTCAGGTGCCATTGACTGTCACTTGGATATTGTTGTTGTTAAGTGCTGTCACGTTGGTTCCAACCCATAGCAACCCTGTATCGGGTTTCTGAGGAGCAGCTAGTGAGCTTGAACCACCGACCGTGCAGTTCAAAGTGACTTTGTAGTCCAGCACATTAACCTACGGCGCCATACTTGGACCTTACTGGTCATTATAGTTGTAATCTTCCGACTTCTGTAAGTTAAATGCTGCCTCCTAGACTCCTTTGTTTCAGGGTCATGGCTATCACTAAGCCAACTTCTTTATTTTCTACCGTTGGTTCTGGCCATCACTGAACATTTTAGCCCTGTAAGTATTTCTTTCACCAGCCTATATTTTTTATGACCTTTGAAAATGGTATGTTATTTGTGCTTCCAACTGAAATAGAATCATCTGATGGGTCTTCTGGCAGCACAGAGTATATGAATCTCACCAAACCCACATTCCTAAGCCTTTTAATTCCTTCCTCCAATGTCTGCCACAGAAATTCTGGCATTCCAACTTTGATTATCATAGTCCATAGCTTTTTTTTTCATGTATGGTGTTTAAAAAAAATACATCTGCGAATTCTTTTATATATATTCTTTCAGAAGATGGAGTCTACTTCCTCTCCCCTTGAATATGGGTGAGAGAAATTTAGTGACTCATTTCTAACCAACAGAAAGTGGCAAAAGTGATGCCATGTGACTTCTGATACTAGTTCAAAGGAAGAACACAACTTTCGCCTGGCTCTGTCTTTGGAAGTTGCCTTTGGAACCCTGCCATCATGTTGTGAGGAAGCCCAGGCCACAGGGATCAACCACTGTGGGTGTTCTGGCTGACATCGCCAGTCTGGTTTGCAGCCAACTTCCAGCATCAATGGGGAAGTGTATCTGAGTGGTACAAAGACATGTGAGTGAATAAACTTCAGATTATTCCAACGTCCAGCCCTTGAGTTGCTCTAGTTGACTCTATGGGTATTGTGGAGCACAGATAAATCACCTCCACTATGCCCTGACCTACAGTAACCTCAAGAGATAATAAATGATATACTATGGTTCAAGGAATCCATCCTTATAGGATCTTTACACCATTCCCTAGAGTCTTTTGCCACATCTTGGAAGATTGTTCACAGATCAATTAACTCTTCAAATTTCACATTCGGGTTCTCTTTACCATCATCTTCATAATCTAGCCCTATTTCCCCAGCTCCACCAGTATGTACTGGTTTTGAGGTGGTCGGGGATACAGTTCCTTTTCTGTCTCATCAGACAGGCATGTTTCCAGCTGAATTATGCTAAGAAGTTACTGTAATTATATGTATGTGTGTTGTTGTTGCTAAGTGCCATCGAATTGGTTCCAACTCATAGTGACACTGTATAGGGTTTCCAAGGAGCAGCTGGTGAATTTGAACCACAGACCTTACAGTCCAGTGCATTATTCCACAATGCCACACAAGTTAATGGGCAGGAAAGTGTGTTCACTTTTAGTAGGGAGAGGTGAACCACATTTGCAGGCTCCAAAGATTCAGGGCAATCTGGGGAGTCAAAATCTTTGACAGTATCAATAGAGTCCTACTGTGGACTCTTAGGATAAGCACTTGTCCTCAGATTGGTTTGAACCACAAGGTTGGTTTGATCCCAAAAGTTGGTAGTTTCAACTCACCAGCCACTCCTTGGAAGCCCTATACAGGATTGCTATTAATTGGAAGTGACTCTACAGCACTTAACAACATACAGATACAAGGAGTCCTGGTAGTGTAGTGGGTTACGAGTTGGGCTGCTAACGCAAGGTCAGCAGTTCCAATCTACCAGTCACTTCATGGGAGAAAGATGAGACTTTCTACTTCCGTAAAGATTTGTAGCCTTAGAAACCCTATATAGGGTTGCTATGAGTCGGAATGGACCCCACAACACACCACCAGCATACAGATAAGAGATTTCTTTTGATAAATCTCACCACACCCACATTCCTGAGTCTTTTAATTCTTTCCTCCACTGTCTGCCACACAATTCTGGCACTTTAGCTTTGTTCATCATAATTCATAGCTTTTTTCCATGCAGGGTGTTTTTAAAAATACATATCTCTTCAGAAGATGGGAGTCCAATTGAGATTCAGTGATTTATTTCTAACCAACAGAAAGTGGCAAAAGTGATGCCCTGAGACTTCTAAGACTAGTTCAAAAGGATACAACGTTCTCCTGACTGTCTTTGGAAGTTGTTCTGGGAACCCAGCTATTACATTGTGAGTAAGCCCACAGGCCACAAAATGCCTGGCACACACCCCAGTCTATATGCTTGCTGTGATCATGACAGAAATGCAAAGACAGGGAAGGTTGAGGCTGTCTCAGCAAGGAAATCAAATTGAGGCACATCTAGTCCGAAAATGGAAAACAATGTGCAAACCAGGGTGACCTGGGCTGGTCGTGGGTGAAGCTGCAATAGGGCCTTGCTCAGGGGTACGCTAAGTCGCAGACCCTTCTTTACTCTAGGGAGATGATGGAGCGCTTCCTGAGCAGCGCGCAGCTTAAAAGGCAGCTCCGACTAGAGGGGAATTGCCTTAGAGTCCACGTCGGAGTCCATGTCGGTCACCCAAAGTGTGCCCCGAGGTTTGGGTGGAGTCATCGATCTGGCGCCAATTCTGGACGAGCAGGGAACCACCGTCCCCGCCGCTGCCCCTAAGGAACACAGGCAGCCTGCTCAGACTTGTAACCTTACTACACCACCAGACGCTTTAACACAGCGGACACAAAACACAGTTTAGGACCCTGGCCAAAAAACGGTACTTCTCATGCCCAACGCGTTTGGGCGTAATACTCTCACGCCTCGCCCAATGGAAGCCCAGACTGGCCTTGACACATCTGTCCGACCAATGGAAGTGAGCTCTCAGTGTTGCTGGGCGGGACCGAGAGTTCCCAGCCCGCGGCCGGCTACCCTTCCGTGCACTCACGATCGAAACCCCGGCCTACCCCTGCGCACGCGTGTTCAGCACGATCTCTCCTCGGCGCAACGTGCAGCTTTGCCCGCCCAGCTAGCGCACGCGCGCTCCCGTGTCGAACGGGGGGGGCGGGGGTTGGTGGGGTGTCGGGGGCGCGCGAGACGGCGGCGCCGAGAAGAGCAGCTTGCGCTCGTGCATGTGTTCGCGCCCGCTCCCGCGCCGGTGCGGAGCCGCCCGAGCCGCGCCCCTCCCGCCGCCGCCTCCCGCTCAGGGGCCGGACGGATGCGGCTCGCCAGGCTGAGGGGAGCTACGTAGCCGCTCCTATTCCACTCCGGCCCCCGGCCCAACTCGGCCCCGGCCCACGTCCGGAGCGTGCCATGGCTGACCGTGGCTGCCCGCTGGAGGCGGTGCCTCTGCCCACCGAGGTGCGGGAGAGCCTGGCCGAACTGGAGTTGGAGCTGTCGGAAGGTGAGGACAAGTCCCCGGGACCCCCGGTCGGCTCTTCATACCGGGACCCCGCCCTATCCCTCACAACCAGTTCCCTGCTCGGCCCCTCACACTGGGACACCCGTGTAGCCCTGACGCCCTGAACCCTGAGACCCCCTCCCAGCCGCGCCCGGCGGGTTCAGTCCGGGTCCAAGAGGAGGAGGTGCAGCGGTGGGACCGGCCCCCTTTCTGGGCTTTGTCCTTTTCGCTGGGTCGTTTGGCTGCAAACAGGCGAATCTTGATGAGAATGACCATTTTTGTCCAGGCGGTGAGTGGTGCTTGTCCAGGGTGCAGGCCCGGGCTGCCCGAGCGCGGCTCTTTCCACTTTTGTCCCTGGCACCCGCTGTCCTTGCGGAGTGCTTTGCACCCTGTGCCATGGGGTTCTAGCAGCACCTGCCTCTTGGGGTTGTTACGAGGCTAAAATACCTTAAAACTATGCAAGGCACTTCTTAATACTTAGAAGAGGTTACTGCTAGTCCCACTCATAAAAGAAAAATTCTGTCCAATAAAAGGTTCTTAGGTTGCTAAAAATAAACTGAAGTCTTTGGGCTTCAGAGGCAGTGGGTGGTATTCCCTATGCTGGACTTCCTTCCAAGGCCGCTGTGAATGGGCCAAGAGTTAGTTCCAGCCCAGTATCAGGAAGGCCTTGAAAAAAAGCATCTAAATATTTCTTAACTAAGCTCTCTAGTCTTAAATGTATTTTCAGCTTTTAGCAATTTTCTTTTCTTTTCTTTTCAAGTTTCAGAGTGGTGTGTCTGGGTTAGGGTAGTAAATTCTTGAAGCAACCGTCTAATATGTAATAACTAATGCTATGTGCCAGGCCCTGCTCTAAGCTTACCTGGCATGTACTTACTCATTTAATATTTAATCCTTATAACAACCTTAGGGTGGTATATCCTTGCTATTTTTGTTTTACTTTTAATGCAACATCCACTTAAGATTGTTTTGAATTTATTACTCAAAATTAAAAATTTTGCAGTATATGGCACTTTTTAGTTTTTGTTTGATTAGGTGCTCTTAGGAAGTCTGAAGAAATCAAATAAGACTCAATGTACTGTAGTATAAGCACTGGACTGCAAGGTTGGTTTGAATTGCAAGGGTGGTGGTTCAAACTCACCAGCCACTCTAAAACCCTACACAGGGTCACTATGAGTTGGAATCCACTCGCCAGCACGTAACAACTGTGATAGCAGCATGCTGAATTGGTGCATTTCTTAATCCAGGGAAAATCATGTAGTTAGATGCGCTTTAGATTTTATACACATTTCAAATATGTTTTTGCAGATTGCTATTAAACTTTTCCCTTGTACTCTTCATTCTCTCATTGTCTTGTCATTATATTTTTGAGCACTTGCTACTTGTTGATGGTTAAATCAGATTGGATTGTTTTTTCAAATAACTTTCATAGTTTGTATGTCCCAGACACATAGAGACAAATAATTCAGCTAAAGTAATGTTTCTTTCATGTATACTATTGTCATCTTAGACACATGTAAGGGATGTATAGATAAGTTGGGGGAATAAGATAATGTCATGTGGAGAGAAACCTGGAGAAAGTTGCTTATTCTTTGAAAAGGATGGACGAGAAGTGACAGAGGGCAAAGATGGCAGAGTGAAGCTGCAGCCAATGAGGCGGGAACCTTGGCTTCTGTTCAGACTCCTAGACTGGCCTGACACCTTCCTTTTGGCCAAAATAGGTCAGCGATTACTTGGGCACAGTCACACTTGGCCTTGCTCCCAGGGAGGGTGCTTCCACACCTTTGGTTCTGGCTTTTGCAGTTTGTATTGTGATTGTTACTGATAAGTGTCCACTCAACTGGACTTAGAACTGCTTAGTGATAAGAACTGGGTCTTAGGCAGATTTTTGGTGTCTTCACACAGTGACTGGAATCTGGTAGGTACCCATGAGTCTCCACTGAATGTTAAACATCTCTTAGATTTATTCTGATATAAAATGATGTGAGCACCAATTTTATTGATATCACAGCATTCTTGTAAAAATTCAGTTGAATAATGTATATTAAAGTGCTTTGAAACTGGTAAATGTTTTATTTAACATAATTAAAGGAAGGTATTATTAATGAAGCATCATCTTAAAGTAACCAGAGTTAGTTGTCATCATTATCATATTTATATTTTTATCAGTTAGAGGTTATAAAACCTGGTTCTCTTTCTCTTTCTGTTCCATAATCCATCCCATCCCCTGAAATTAAGGGAGACATAAACTTCTGATTCAGAAAGCTGTGATGTCAAAATAGAGTAGTTTTATAGCTGATTAAGTGATACCTGAATAACCTGGAAAAACTCTAGCCTCCGCCTGTTTGCTGGCAGTGACTCATTAAAAGTATGCCCCTGTCTTCATTTGTAATTCCTGGCTTTGTTCTACTTCCTCACAGGATCCTCCTATCAACCTTTGTGATTGAGGTTGACCCTCAGGGAATATTCTTACCAGGCACTGATTTCTTCACCTAAAACAGGTTTACTGACTTTCATTAGAAATTACTAGGGGAGACTCCCAGGGGGGATATAAGAAACTAACCTGGTTTTATACCTAAACTTCCTCCCTTTTGGATTTAGGGGTCTCCTTCAGATTAACAGAGCTCCATGTACTCTCATCTTCTTAAAGTTCCTCCCATCCCCTATGAACACACACAGAACAATCCATACACTTGTGGCTCCTGAAAGTATATCAGAATGTCCCTGGGTAAAAGTGAGATTGTTAGAGGTATAACCTTGATTTTTTTTTTTTTAAAGAATGACTTTCTAGACATTTGTGCAAATTGTAACAAATTACCTTTGATGCACCTCGTAGCTCATTTGGCATATCTATGTAGTACACTGTGTTATCTTGGGGCTATTGTTGCTGAACTGCTTTAAAAATGTGTACTGCAGTGTAAGTTTATTCTTTGTGTTGGTGGCCTGCAGTGGATTAGAAAGGAAATTACTATACAATAGGCTACTTTTGTCCTACTCCAGTTTTTTAATTCTGGTGACCAGGTCTATTTTGTAGTTTATAACTTGTGTACTTCTTGTTTTCCTCCATTCTGATAGTGCAGGGACTGTAACCTAGATGGAGACAAATGAAAAGAGGGAAAGGTCAGTTTACATATGCAGAGAAGAATCTGCTTTCCTAAAAATGTTTTCCTTTTTAGCTCTATTTAATTTCTGAGCTCTGTGATACAATTCTTAGTTTTCAAATGCCATCCTGACATTGCCATCTCAATAATCATTTGTTGTGTTTCCTGAATATTTTATGACATATAATAGAAGTTCTCATATCCAAATTCTATTGACCTGTTAAATCCCTGCCTAGATGTCCTTATTTGAGCCTTCCCTGATCACCTCTATGGTAATGATTGCCATAAGATTCTAAGAACACCCTTTGCACTTGTCCCTTATTTTGAAGTTCTCACTGCTTTTCATTTCTGTTATTTATATATATATTCATCCAGTAATTATTAAGTGCCTTTTT